TGGCTTTGACTGGAGGCTGAGCTTCCCTTGCTTACTGACACAGAGTCCTGTTGTTGGCTTTGAGCTTGAGATTGTTGTTGCTCTTGAGCTTGTTCCTGGCTTTGACTGGAGGCTGAGCTTCCCTTGCTTGCCGACATAGATTCCTGTTGTTGACTTTCAGCTTGAGATTGTCGTTGTTGCTGAGCTTGTTGTTGTTGTTGAGCTTGTTGTTGTTGTTGAGATTGTTCCTGTTGTTGAGCTTGAGCCTGGCTTTGACTTTGGCTGCTCTTTTCACTGGAGTGTGAGCTTCCCTTGCTTACCGACTCAGAGTCCTGTTTTTGGCTTTGAGCTTGAGATTGTTGTTGCTTTTGAGCTTGTGCCTGGCTTTGACTGGAGGCTGAGCTTCCCTTGCTTACCGACACAGAGTCCTGTTGTTGGCTTTGAGCTTGAGATTGTTGTTGTTGCTGAGCTTGTTGTTGTTCTTGGGATTGTTCCTGTTGTTGAGCTTGAGCCTGGCTTTGACTTTGGCTGCTCTTTCCACTGGAGTGTGAGCTTCCCTTGCTTACTGACATAGAGTCCTGTTGTTGGCTTTGAGCTTGCGATTGTTGTTGCTCTTGAGCTTGTTCCTGGCTTTGACTGGAGGCTGAGCTTCCCTTGCTTGCCGACATAGATTCCTGTTGTTGAATTTCAGCTTGAGATTGTTGTTGTTGCTGAGCTTGAGATTGTTGTTGCTCTTGAGCTTGATCCTGGCTTTGACTGGAGGCTGAGCTTCCCTTGCTTGCCGACATAGAGTCCTGTTGTTGGCTTTGAGCTTGCGATTGTTGTTGCTCTTGAGCTTGGGCCTGGCTTTGACTGGAGGCTGAGCTTCCCTTGCTTACTGCCACAGAGTCCTGTTGTTGGCTTTGAGCTTGAGATTGTTGTTGCTCTTGAGCTTGGGCCTGGCTTTGACTGGAGGCTGAGCTTCCCTTGCTTGCCGACATAGAGTCCTGTTGTTGGCTTTGAGCTTGCGATTGTTGTTGCTCTTGAGCTTGGGCCTGGCTTTGACTGGAGGCTGAGCTTCCCTTGCTTACTGACACAGAGTCCTGTTGTTGGATTTGAGCTTGAGATTGTTTTTGCTCTTGAGCTTGTGCCTGGCTTTGACTGGAGGCTGAGCTTCCCTTGCTTACCGACACAGAGTCCTGTTGTTGGCTTTGAGCTTGAGATTGTTGTTGCTCTTGAGCTTGATCCTGGCTTTGACTGGAGGCTGAGCTTCCCTTGCTTGCCGACATAGAGTCCTGTTGTTGGCTTTCACCTTGAGATTGTTGTTGTTGCTGAGCTTGTTGTTGTTCTTGTGATTGTTCCTGTTGTTGAGCTTGAGCTTGGCTTTGACTTTTGCTGCTCTTTCCACTGGAGTGTGAGCTTCCCTTGCTTACCGACTCAGAGTCCTGTTGTTGGCTTTCAGCTTGAGATTGTTGTTGTTGTTGAGATTGTTCCTGTTGTTGAGCTTGAGCTTGGCTTTGACTTTGGCTGCTCTTTCCACTGGAGTGTGAGCTTCCCTTGCTTACCGACTCAGAGTCCTGTTGTTGGCTTTCAGCTTGAGATTGTTGTTGTTGTTGAG